TTTAGATTTATATTTTATTTATTTAGCTCAATATAAAATTTCAAAAAGTGTCCATAATGCTATGCTACCCCACTGTACTTCTTCTTGAGAAGTTTCATTATTTTTTAATTGCTTATTAACTTTCAAATTGTTAGTATTTTTTCGAGTATTTCGCAGCATATCTAAAGAAATTTCTTGAGCTTCACCATCCAGACCAGATAGTTGAATGTGTGATTCTTGTAATTGAGCATTCATATTTGGATGAACTTTTATATTATAGCAATTAAATAATCTTTCGAGCTATTGCTGATGTACTATAATGCTCTTTATGCAGAATTTAACAAATTCATAAACAAGAGAAAATTTAGATAGTTCTACTATATCAGAATCTGCAAATGCTTTGAATTTCTCAAGAAAATCATGTTGCGATAATGCTTCTAATAACCCAAAAGTGTTTTGATGTCCGTTAGACAAATCTTTGTTTAGAAGGTTAGTGTAAAAAATCTCCTTCAAAGAAGGAATTTTTGAAGAATCTTTATTAAAAAATACTTTAAGAAAAGCACGTACAAATTCTGGTTCATTTTCACTGTCTAATCGACAAACACACAAAGGTAAATGAATCCAAGTTTCTATCCATTTAATAAATCTGTTTAATACATTTTCTATTCCAGAGCATAAAGATTTATGAAAATTCTCTAAATCTGCTGTATTAAATTCACGTTTAGCATCAGCTAATTCATCTTCAAATAACTTATTAATATCTTCTAGGCAATTTTAAAGCTCTTGAATCTATAATATCACTCTGTCCAGCATTTCATAAGTATGATTTCCTGGCAGTAGAGTAATATTTATATTATTTTGTTGGTAGATTTGTAAAGTTGGATTGTAGCTGATTAGAAAATTATAGATAGGTTCGTAAAACTTTTCATCAAATTTAACTAAACACTGTATTTGAAGATTAAGTTGTGTATCCATAAGCCATTTAAAAAATATCTGCCATTTGTATAGATATGACTTTGAAACATTTTTGGCATTTTCAAGTTGCTTAATAAAGAATTGAGCAAAGCAAATATGAACTTCACGCCTATTAAGATATTGTTTGGCAGTTTTAAGTTCATATAACCACCATTGACGAATAGGTTGTTGATATTTATTCATTTCAAAATTAAATAATACTTTATAGAGCTCATGTAATATTTCAGATTTTAGATTTAATAGGCTATCCTTATCTGAAACATTATAACTATCATGAAGATGAAAAGCAAGATAAAGTAAATTGTGAGGATGTTCTTTTAATGATAATCTTTTAATACCATTTATTTTTCCAAACGCCATATTTTCAAAATTTATTAAAGAAATGTAGATTGCGTGCAATCTGCAAGGAATCCAGAATGACTTAGAAGTTGCTAATAAGTTGAATTTAGCAACTGCACTGTTAAGTTTTGAAGACATATAGGCTGTATTATCAGTTAACCAAAAATAACATTTTTTGGGGTTAATTCTTTTTTGTTGGCATGCTTCAAATACCATAGTTGAAACCATTTTAGCATTGCAGTGTAATAAGTCTGTTAACTTTACGATAGTAATTACGAGTCTTTTACTAATGCTGTTCTAATATGAAAACCAAATAATTAATATTTTTTTTTTCTTGTATACTTTTATCAACCATAATACCGTAGCCATAAAATCTAGAAGAGGCTTCTATGGGATGATTTTGATTAAAAGACAAAGCTGTTATTTCATTATTCCATCGTAATAAAGTGGGAGTGCTTACCCAATGCTGTGGCATTTCGTCAATTAAAAATTGATAGAAGGCTTTAGTGTATTCTACTATTGCATATATAGAGGTTTGGTCTATATTACTAATATCAGTAGCTAATTTCACGAATTTGGCACTATATTCTTTATTGTTAGCTTTAAATAATTTACTGGCCACACGTTGAAATTGAGCCGGTTGAATTTGCTTTGCCTTACGAATAGATGCCCTAATTGTCAAAATTTTTCTTTTTTTTGCTTGCTTTGCTTTTGCTAATCTTACAGAAAGTGAATAAATTCAGGTATTTGCTAATCTTTTTAAATGTTTATTTTTTATTTTTAAACTTTTATTTTGTGATTTTAATCTGAAGATACTAGCACTAGGGTCTAATTTATAAAGACCTTTATTAATAAAATTTTGAGCTTTTTTTTGAAAATAGGTGGAAATTATTTCTTCTTGACGATCTTCTCGAGAATAGAGCATTGTTTTAAAAAGGGTCATCGCATCAAATATTTGTTGATCGGGTAAAGTACAAATATGTATAAATAGATCATTATGTTTTCATTGAACACGAGTGTTCATTTCCCGAGATTCAAAATTTTTTTTTATTATATAGTTGAAGTCTTCATTATCTAATTGTGCAAATATTAGAATTAGGTAATCAAGCAATACTTTTCATTATTCACATTTTCACAAACTTCTAATATTTTTAAGTTGCTTATTACGCAGATTTAGTCAACTCATTGGAGCATATATTAAATAAATTTGAGGTTTCGTGAAGATTTTATTATACTTAAAACTTTGTTATATTAATTACGCATTTACTTCTAATTTAATTCAAAGTTTATAGTTTATTTAAGAGATGTGGTCAAATTTAAAAATTATAATAGTATTTTTAGTATATTACAGTGTATGGAAGATTGCTCTTTTACTTAGATTAATTTAGAATACTATTATCATTAGATGGGTACAAATAATTCTTTACTATGATGAACTCACCTTTCTTTTAAATATTTTGCAGAATTATGATCTGAAGGAATACAATCACAAGACCAATAATGATGAATACGCATATTTTAGGATTTGTTTTTCTTGTTGCAAGATCAATAATTATGAATATATGCATTTTAGAATTTATTTTTCTTGTTGCAAGATCAATAATTATGAATATGCGCATTTTAGGATTTATTTTTCTTGTTGCAAGATCAATAATTATGAATATGCACATTTTAGGATTTATTTTTCTTGTTACAAGATCAATAATTATGAATATACGCATTTTAGGATTTATTTTTTTGTTGCAGAATCAATAATTATGAATATGTGCATTTTAGAATTTATTTTTTTTGTTAAAAGTAAGGATAATATAAGGTTAGTAGAGAAGAAGTTTTGTTCACATCAATTTTGTCTTAGCGCGTTTTTTATTACAATTTTTAAATTGTATAATTGCTTATTTATATTATACTATATTTATATATTATTTTGTATAATTATAATGCGTACTTAGATTTAATAAAATTATTTGTTTATAAGTAATCCTATTATTGAAATAAAAGTGCAAGTTTTATATAAACAATAACTATTCTAATTAAAACTCAATTCAAACCTTATAACAAAATATAATTCGGTCAAAGCACAATTGTTTTTTAATAGGATTTAATGAAATCTTAAAATTTAAAACTTTGACTTGTATTATTAGCATAGTAAATATAGTAATTTGAAAAAACCTTTTTTTAGCGATTTTTATATTGAAGATCTTTTTTACTTTTATTAAGAATTGTTATTGCGTACCCCTATATTTTTGTCTCAATATATAGTATTTTAAAAACAAATTTAGAAAATATACAGTAATAACTTCTAATAAATAGGAATAGAAAATCTTGTTGAAATGCATTAATGGCACTCTAAATAGTTAAATCTTCAAGTCAATAAAGATCCCATATGTAATACAGAAAATTCCTTAATGATTTTACTAAATAGACCATATCTAATTATTTTTATACTTTTCATATTTGTACCAACAAAGATAACCGCTAAATATAATAATGGTCATATTCAAACATTTTCATACTTGGTCGTATTTAAATAACAACTAGATACTAGTCCAAAGATAAAAATTAGTATTATTAGTATAATAACAGGTTTTTAAATTCGAATAACAAGAAATTAATTTGTATACTTAGCTAGTTTTAAGCTGATTGAGTAAATGTAAATGTAATAGTTTTTGCATATAGTTGTAACCAAATTTAAAAACATATTATCTCAGTCTATCTTTTCTCTACAGATATGACAAAAAGGACTACCACACAAACTACTGTTATTAATTGGATTCAGTCTGCTTTACAACACAATCTTCATCCTATTATTCTTGGAGATTTC